AAAAGTTACTGAAATGACATACTTTACTCTGATATCAGTGAATAGTCATTGAATGCATCAGTGACTATTTACTGATATCAGTCTAAAGTCCTATGCCATTTCAGTGACTTTTCACTGATTCCGATTTAGAGAGCAAAAGTCATTGTTGATCGCTAAAAGCTTACGCACTTGGCTTACGCACTTGAAGCTACGGAGCGCCAGATGAACTCAAAGATTTGTTTTTTTTTATCTCATCCGTTGTCTACGAGCGGGGGGAGGAGACGAAAGAAGAATTCATTTCGACCTCGCGGTATCTGGTGGACATTAAAAGCCGGATTGGCTTATCGTTACTGACGAACTACCGATCGACCAAAAAGGAAAAGAAAGGAAAGCGAAAGAGAATGCGTCAACGTAAGTACATGTGTCGGTGCACAGAAAGAAAAAGAAGTGTCAAATATATGTGCAATAACAATCTATAATCTTCTTCTAAGAATTTCTTATAATAGCTTCTTATCTCGACCTTTTTTGCCTAATTTAACGGTAAAATATGACAAAAAAATTATCTCCGTGTATAAGTCTTCACTTGACACTTCTTTTTTTTATGTGTATATGCGCAACGTGTACGTTAGCGCTGCAGACAGATTCGTCGGGGCACGACAATGCCTGCGACAGTAAATGTTGGAATAGATTTGTCGCAATTTAAAGTCAGTCCCACGTACACGGAGGAGCGGGCGCGTGTATGACGTTAACGCACCCGCGTTCCTGCGTGCGCGCGCGGCGCGGTTTCTCTCGCCGTAGAACGCACGCGGCATACTCATGGCGCGTGCTGACGGAGAAAAAAAAACATCCGGGATTCCCCCGAGTCGAGAGTGCACAGCCAAATCTACGAGAACCCACGTCCGATAAGTCTCGATATTAACATCAGCGTGATTCATATTAATCTGCTCTGTGGCCGTTACAAATATTGACGCAAGTACGACGCACAGGAACTTATCGCAACTAGGAAACGATTAATTAACCAAATATTAACTCAAACACTCTCGTTGGCTAAGATATATCGCAACTAGGAAGCGTTTAGCATAAAATTAGCTGAAGTAATCTTCAGCTTAAGGTCGTAATCATTATTTGACTATCCTCGTAAAAATTTCGATTGTTACCATTCGTTCAACGCATTAATACACTTTTAAAGCGCAATTCTTCGTATATTCGTCGTTACATATTTTGTTTAACTTTGCTGTTCTTTTTCCACCGGTCTTCTGCGCGCGATTAATCATTTAATTCGAAAATGGACCTGTGCATTAATACATATAATGCTTGAGGGGAATCTCCGGAATTCTTTATCCATGTACTCGCACGTCCCGCGAGATCCGCGTATTCGGCGTTATCACCTCCGTGCGAACATAGAATCTTTCAATTTACGGTCAATTTTGCCAGTTTTGCCTTTTAATTTGCGCGCGTGACGAAAGTTTGCTCGCCTAATCTATCGCTTCCTGTCACACTTTCTAAAGAAGTCCGTATGTGCGTGTACGTGACCGTCCAAATTATGCACGACGAAGTTATGCGTGTGTACACCCTACGTGGCACAATCGAGTCGGCGAACCGCGTAATAATAGACGACACGTTCAACGAAAATCTCTATTTCTAAATGTCGGTGCGCCCAGTAAGCGAGCCGACTCGGAATCGGTCGTCGCAGCGGGATTTAACTCTTAAATGCGCAATTTTTCGTAGCGTTCTGACTATTTTCTGGAACGACCTTTCCATCCAAAAGGGAAAGAAGAACCAGAAGGGCTGTTTACAGATCTGCAAAGCGCGTTTTATTTCGAACTTCATGAGAGAAAGTACGCGGAGCATCGAAAAGTCGCTTTGCATATATGTAGAACTTAAAAAAAAAAAAGTTCGGGATAAGCCTCAACTTATTGTCGCGTCTCCAACTGGGAATTCCAGTTCTTTAAGTATACTATCAACAGCTATATGAAAAGCTGCGCATTTAAGGGTTAAAGTGCGTCGTGTGATCGCACGACGCGTGACTCCGATTCGATTTGAGTCGCAACAATAGGCGTGTTTCACATTGAAGAGAAAAAAAGAAAAGATGAACCGTGCAAGAAGTTCAGTTGGGAAAAAGTAGACCCGGACTTACAGCAAAGATATATAAATTGTTGCTGCAAATTGTTTGAGAGAGAAGGAGAGAAAGAGAGAGAGATAAGGGGGGCATATAATATACTAACGCAACCATTATTCAAATAAACATTGATAAGAACAACAAATAAGAATTGCTTGTAAAAACGAGAATATACTATAATATGTACACGCGCGTGTGCAAGTATTACTTAAAAATGCTCCAAATTCAAAGGACACGTTTTCTTCCTTTTTATAATCTTAATCTTGACTCACTTATTCTATTTTATATCAAATTATTACAGTTGAGGATGAAGACTAACAATATATCATATTTTTTTCATTATTTTCTTTAAATCAACTTGATTTTCTTTTAAACCAACATATTATTATGCTCGAAGGCCGTTGTCCTTCTCACTTAGCTTTGCCCATTTCGTTGACTTCTTTGTTATTAATTTAAAGGATATGTTTACGAACGTATGTACACTGACCGGCAGGAATGCCTGGACATTTTGATATGTATATGACATACATGTACATGTATATGTATTATGTCCAGGCATTCCTGCCGGTATAGAGTGTACATAATAAAGTTTCGGGAACGAGAGAAACTCGTTTTCCGCAATATATACGTAAACGTAAATATATGATAATTTCGAGTGAAGTAACATTAACCTAACAAGTCAAACTTTAAATTGCATTCCTTTTATTTTTTACTTATTTGTTTTTTTAGTTTCCAAAGTTTTCCCCCCCAAAATTTTACGCTAACGGCAGCAGTGATGAGTGATGATATCTAATCCGTTACTTACGAAACGCGAAAATCCATCGTTCGATCCCGTTGCCAAACGAGCTTAAATTTCTACGAAAGGGGGGTGGAAGGGTGATATGCGAGCGTTATCACTCGAATACCCGAGATTGTATCAGAATTCGAAAAATTTGCTCGTCGATCGATCGGTCGTGCGTTATTACACGCACGTGCGACAAATATCCCCCGATCTCCGATCGTCGGAGCGTCGCACGCTCCGCCGTCCGCCGTCCGCCGTCCGCTGCAGTCACATAACCTATACGGGCGAAAACGGCAAACTGACTCACGTTGCGATCCCCGCCGGAGATGTGTCGCTGATACGGCGACACCGCCGAAAAGGTATCCGTCCGCGGCGTGTCAGCCCCCGACTGTCCCCTCCGATGCGTACGCCGACCCTTCAGTCAGCCCTTCATGCTCCCGTCACCCACGATCGCACTGTTGCAACCGCACCGAAACCGTGCGCCGTGCGTGCTGCATAATCCCACATGATCCACTAATCCAGTCGTGGACGTGGGGTGGGACGTGGTCACTCGTGGTGCGACGAACTCCTTTTTATTACGACATCTACCCGACATTTCGGGAACAGGTTGCGTCATGTATTGATCGCGCATCCTTGCCGGACTCGTTGTCAGATCGGTACATCATCGGCCCTTCCGACTTCCGACCGGCGAACACGTGGCGAATTGTCCCGCGAGCAGACACGACTGATCATAGTTGTTACGGTAGTGGTAACCGGCGCCTTAATTAATGATCGCGCGTTGGTGACTGGAGAAATTTTTCGAGATTTTGTAAAAAATTTTGAATGACATACTTAAATGACTGAATAATGACGAAAAGTGAAAAATACGTCATTCGGCGGGTTATCCATGAAAATATAGTTTCATTTAATTATATATTACATTATACTAATAATAATAATTTATTATTAATGTATGCATACGATAATAAAAATTCCAGGGTTGAACGCGTAATTAAAATATAATTTACATCTAGGTGCATATATAATGTCGTGTCGTCTATATGTAAATAATCAGTAATCTATGAAGAGGATCATCGAAAATTTATATTTTATCACAAAAATCAGAAATTTATGTATTTCGTTTACAATTTTATTTTTAATGCTATTATTTGATTTGGGTACAATTTTTAGGATGTTAGAAAAATTAACAATAGTTTTAAAAATTTTGATCTTATACTTATGGAAAAAGAATAGAAACATGCATATTGTGCGTGTTGCAATGCAACTGTGAGCTAAACAATATGCTGCTTTTTGTCATTTAAAAGCTCATAGAGGAATAACGTAAATAATATTTCTATATTGATATCATGCATCTTTTTTGTCACTGTACAGTTAATAAATAAAAAAATTTTAATTGAAATGCATCTAACATAACTAACAAGTCTAAAACTATTTTTTATCTTTGTGAGACTGTTTGCAAAAATACAAGTTCAAGGAAATTAATCAATCGATCATTCAATTTATAATTTACATTACTTATATTGTCTGCATGAAAAAAAGAATCGTTTAAACATAACATAAGCAATACGTAAACAATCCATGTAGATATATTTCTGAAATTTACAGTACAACTCTGGAAAATTCGATTGTGGCGTATACACCGGTAAGACATACAAAACTCGTCGAGAAAACAGTGTATGTTAATAACTCTGCGATTCTGCTTATACATTCGCAGATGCGCTACCAGTCGAGAATAAAAGTATCGTTCGACTCCGCATAAATGTTTGCAATATCATTCGTGAGATTTGCGTGCCTTTTGCCCAATGTAAAAGTGAGATGACATTACCGATGCGCGTTTGATGGTATCTGATTCAAATGAATATTTGAATTTGATATTTAAAATGTTCTGACGTCAAAATGACAAAAACGTTTTGCAATTAAAAGGAGTCGTCAGTTGTCAGTAATGTCATTTGAAATGCAATACGAATTCGAGCCACTATTGAAACGTATATTTATCGAAATGTAAATGTAACATAAAGAAAAAGAATTGATAAAAACGTAACTTTAGCCGTAAGACTAGAGGCGCACACTGCCTTACAATAATAAATAATGATACCTGTAACGAACAAAAGAACAAAAGTATAAATGTTTATGTCATGTTTATTATATCAATAATATTATATACGCGGCGTCGCAATCTACACGTACAAAACTCGCGGACGAGCGAGCTGTTATCACAGAAAAACCGAGCGTCCCTCCGCCCCGTCCCTTCTAATTGTGCGTGGCGGCCGATCGTTGCGTCTCGCCCGAGTGTCGGGCGTGATTCATCATCGACTCGACGCGGTTCGCCGTTTCCCGCACCACGTCGGATATCTCGTCCGGCAGGTGGTCCAACGTCGGGATGTGCGCCGACAGCCTCTTGTAGACGGAGTCCCGGCTGCCGTCCTTCTTGTGCCGCCTCTGCTCCTCGTACTTGAGCTGCTGCTTGAAGAATATCGCGTTCTTGATGAACTCCAGGGTATTCTCGAAGCTCTTCCCGGCGCCGTGCATCGTACGGATCGCGCTGACCGCGTACTCCACGTCGTAGCACCTGCCCAGCAGCTGTTGCTGCAGCGCCAGCACCTCCACGCGCTTCTCCACCATCGGCGGCAGCGCCTTCCTCACGTGTTCCTGCAGCCTGTAAAACGCGAGCGACGGCTCGTTCGCGACGATGTGCATGTTCTCCGATATCCGCTCCGTCGCTGCAACAACGAGATTTGTCGTCGCGTGGATCAATATTCATATTTTTTTTCGTCACGTATCAACGTTAACGAAAGAGGAGAGACGGAAAGGGAATTAGGAAAGTTGTCAAGACAGACTAACCTTTTTTAACTTTCGTTTCCAGCTCCTGATCGGGTTGATACACTTTGGCGGCCATCGCTTACCAGATTTATCGCATCGGGCGATCAAAAGTCTGCAGTTATAAATATATCACGCGGAGCGTCAGTTCGACATCTCGAGAGATGTAAATATTAACCCTCTAACAATACCGCGCCTTGACCCGCGTCACGTGAAACATATCAGGGTCGTCACAGGTCGCGGTGTGGTACTCCTCTAAAAATAAACATCCGTTCCTTTCGGGATGCGCTGCTCCGCGTTTTTTTTATCTTTCCCTCTTGCCAAGATTCTTCTAAATTCGAACCTAAAATCGAAGCGACGGAATCACTCGCGTTCATTCATCACAGTTAACAATTGGGCGACTGTCACGATCAGCTGATCGTCAACGTGTAGCGACTCCTTCGGCACTTTATACTTCCGCACTTGCACTTTTTACACTTACGCAGCGATAATTTTATTAATTTTATTATCGTTTGTGAATCGAAGGAGACGCATGATCAACAAATGATCGGCATCTACTTTTTTGTTGTAACAATAAAATTCCGTTTTATCTCTCGCAGTCGATACTGAAAACTCTTTACAATCCGGATTTATTAGTTATATAGCTAGCATATTTTTTTGTTCAATTTTTCGGCATTCGGCACTCGTTTTCCCAGATAGCAAAGCGCGTCTGAGCAAAATCGCGCAAACCTGTGATTTTCCTTATGACGCTGGCAACTTACCGTAATAAATGCGTAATAAAATATTCCAGCGTTGTTGAATGTTTTAAAATGTATAAAATTGCAAACGACGCGCGCCACCGCCGCGCCGCCATCTTCGCGCGCTTGCAGCGCGTACCGGAAATAACGATGTGTATGCGGACCTATCATCCCGTGTCGGAAACGTGGCAGCGGACGAGGCGCCGTTGGCACTGCTCTCGCGAGAGCTCGCGAGTGTCTCCCGTCCCGGTGGCTCGCACGCCGTCGTATGGTGCGCCCGCGTCCGGCACTGAGAGCAGCTGACACGAGAGACGTTTCGCGCGTTTGGAGACATCGTTTGACGACAGTAATCACCGGCCGTCGAACGTCCGCACGGAGAAAAAAATGTGAGTTTTACTTTCACGTACGTTTTTTTCTATTTCAACGAGACCCGACGATTTTTCCCGCGGAACTGACCGATTTGTGCTTGCTGGCACGCGTTCACGAACTTCTGCTCCAGAAAACGAGACGTTAACAGCTGTTCCAGCGCGCGAGACGATCGTGTTTCGTGTTTAGTAATCTCTGAAATATGTTCTGGAAATTTCGTACAATTCACTTGGTTACTTTTACACGTATCTGTCAGAATTGCGCTTAACGGCAGAATCGTCGAGACGCGTAAATAAATTTACATAAGGTTGACATAAAGTATTGCGATGTGCGAACTACGCGACTGACGTCGGTGAATTCACACGCGTAAACAGTGTTTCGCAGCGAAAATTGATGACAAAGTAACTAATGAAGTCTTTTATCTTGCAGTATGAAGTGGCACATCTTGCTTGCGGCGTTCGCTGCGCTGTGCGTAGCTGTGTACGCAGAGGAGGAGGAAGAGGCTGCTAGATTATTAGTGTCCAAACAGATACTCAATAAATACCTGGTAGAAAATATGGACATAGTTATTAAGGTAACGAGAAAGGAAGATTTCGCCTATATTTCAAGTTTTTGACATCTGTACATAGTAATTACATTGAAGCGTTCCTTTACTGACCTCTATTTCTACAAATGTTTTCTACGAAATATTATTTTTTACTTGGCGCAGTCTGCATTTATTAAAAAATATTACTAATGCAACGAAAACAAAATTTGCAGTACACTATTTACAACACCGGCAACGTCGCAGCATTGGAGGTCGAGATCACAGACAATTCGTTCCATCCGGATCACTTCACTCACGTGAGCGGCGAGTTAAACGCTAGGATCGATCGCGTGCCACCGTACACCAACGTGAGCCACACCGTGGTTGTGAGGCCGCGTAAGTTTGGATATTTCAACTTCACTTCGGCCGAGGTTCTCTATCGCCGCAAGGAAGATGCTCCCCGGCTACAGGTGGCTGTGAGCAGCGAACCTGGCGAGGGGCTCATCGTGGCATACAGGGACTACGACAAACAGTTTTCATCTCACGTGGTAAGTATGAACATATGTACTTGTGTAACGATCGTATTAAGATGTTGTAAAAGAGTTACAAGACATCGCCGCGAGATAGGTAGCCTTATAATTATACAAACTTTAGAAAGAAACTTAATCGCTTATGTGGATTATAATGTGAAACTAAATACTATGCTGACTGCATAGTATTTTACAGTCTTGTATATTACAGTATGTACATATTATAACTGTACTACTTGTTTTTATTTTTTTAATTTATAACACAATATTTAATCTTATTTTTTCCTTTTCGAGTAAGATTATAATTATTCTATATCGTTTCCTTTATAACAAAATTACAATAATTATTCCCTAAAGTCTTAGTTTAAAATTAGATAAATCCATGTATATACTATAGAGTTAAATTTTATCGCCTTATAATCCTGTTTTGTTATGTTTCATAGATCGATTGGGCCGCGTTCGCCGTGATGACTCTACCTTCCCTGCTCATTCCATTCGCCTTGTGGTACTCGAGTAAAAGTAAATACGAGAAATTGCTGAAGAACACAAAAAAACACTGATTGTATATTGTATGTTAGAGTCGTTTCCAGGAATTTCTAGGTCACTTTATAAATTTTCCTATATCATTGTAAGAAACACGACTGTTCTACTACTTACATCTACTTTTGTAATAAACGTGACACTATTTATAAACATCATGTTGCACTTTATTTATTTAAGAATTCAACTTCTTGCTATCTGAATTTCCATCGTCCAAAGAATGGAAATGGTTTGTTTACCCAATTATATTGGGACTTTTTGTTTTACGGTGAAATATCTTTTCTTCTCAAAAATCATTATATTATGTTCGGACTTTATACCGGATCTTTATTTGATAAGCGAGTAACTCTAGATATTCTTATTCTTCTAAGCACTCCTATACTTAACTTAGAATACAACTTGAAAAATTGCTACGCTATACATATGTCCTACAAACGTGTATATATCACAGCTTCACAAAATATAAAAAAATAAGGTTTTCTTTCTGTGATAATATACGATAATATATCGTGTATATCGAACAATAAGTTGGCTGCCGTTTTATTTATGTAAACAAAAATATATAGTTTTATGACTAGGAACTATATCGTTATTAAAATGAAGATGATACACGAAGAATCATGGATCATGGCAATGTTAACAGACTGTTATAATCATTCTTTACACGCACACGCACACACAATTGTCACAAAGTCATATAAATATGTACAATAATGTCATATATGTGTGTCACGTCAAGCGAAAATACAAACGTTTCACAAAAACTGAGCTTGTTTTTTTTTTCCAAGAAATAGACCTGTTTCCATACATAAAAAGAACGGATGATAATTTTGACCCCTTTAAGGCACAATTCTGTAATTATTATTATACTAATTTATAATGAATCATTTTTAATGAAAGCATCAGTCGTTATCCGTATTAGTCGCTTTACGTCGACAAAACTAAATTTTTCTCATGAAACTGAGCATCTTAAATTTAAATAATGTTTCTTATTGTGGATAGGGGAACGGACGTTATTTTCTAACGAATCTTTGTCAACAATTCCGAGCTGCTCTGTACTCGATTTTAACTCTCCTAACATATCTTTTTCTAACATATATCTCTCCTCCTGATATACGGTGTGCCGAAACTACGCGGGTCACCGTAAACAGACGATTCGAACGCCGAGAACGGCCTTAACGGCGGAGTTCGCGGGCTGGGAGTCGTGGGAGTAGTCGGAGTAGTTGTACACGGAGTACAGATCGTTTTCCTTATCATCGGCGGAGATTTGTCAGCTGTAAAAAAAAACCATCATTAATATCACAAATGCTATATTGAGAAAAACGTCGTACGACAAACATCATAAAATTAATGTCAATGAATAAAATATCAAAACGGGGGAAACAAAAAAGAATGGTACGTACCAAAAATACCTCTATTCCTGACTGTTAAATCAACAGCTGCCACTTTGTGTTTCCAGACTGAAAAATCCACAACTTTCATTAGTAATACTGAAAATAACGTAAACTTATTTTATTAAAAAAATTTGACTTTCGTCTTACCATAAAAGATGGTGATCACAATAACAGCGAATGTTCCCAGCGTGTATCTGTGGAAATACATGTAATTCACCCATTGTACTCCGGACATAGGGATGAATTGACTGTATCTTGCCACGCGTATGTGAAGCTGGAAAGAAACGCGTGATATCATTTAATGACTATCGCTATAACGTCCGGCAAGTAAATGCGTTTAAAACCCCCATACAGCTTACTTACAGATATGTTTTGCTTGGTCAAATCGTTAGAAATGAACATTTTTTGTCCCTGAATTTCGTCCTGATTATGCATTAAACGCAATCTGTACTGTATTGTAGATTTGGAGACGTATTGCCAAGTGACGGCCACACCATCCGGTACAGCGATCTGATAGAAAAAAATGTAAATAGTATTATATTTCATAAAATTTAAAAAGAAATATACAAAAAGAATATTAACGTTTAGCAAATATCATAAACTAACTATTAGCATCACACAATTCCAATAAAAAATAAATAATTCAATAAAGTTAAAAGACCTAATAAATAATTTTTATTGCGTTATTTCTTATGCGTAAGTCTAAAATTTTCAGATCAGATTTAAAAAAAAATTTTTTTTTTTAGATTCTTAAACAAACGACTCACATTGAGATACTGTAACACCGACGACAATCCATACACCTCAAACGATGTCGACAGCACACCACCAACACTTTGAGTGGTGACAAACGTGATCTCCTTGGTGTCGACGTACACAGGTGGCAAATAAGCGAGTTCCAGAGCTGCTGACTCGATGTCACGGCTCTGAACGCTAATTTGAATACGGCTTTCCAACACACTGGCGGCTATAGTCGGAGAACTCATTGGTATGATGTCGCAATAATAAAAGCCTGTGATAAACAAAAGAAAAAATCGTTACAACAAACGTATCTTTATCTTTCATCGTGCGCGATAATAAGACTGCACCAACCTGTCACGATATCGAATCGCGGCTTCACGACGAACAAGTCCTTCACGCCAATCGACGAACTCGACGAGACGAACTGGATGTTACACGCGTAGGGAAACGTGTTCAATGCAAATGACGATAACGTCCGACAACCGCCTAAGCCTCTAGCCAACACGTTATTCTCCTTGATCTCCTCGTCCTTACTCTTCAGCACGAGCGGAACGCTGAAGATTTCCGTGCCGGTGATGTTTCTTCCTCTCAAAGGAACGATGGATACCTGTGCGAAAAAAAAATCACTTTATTACGACGTATACCGCGCCACATTATGATATGTTATATTTCTTTGTTAAGTGATTAATTACCCGTGCGACTGGTAAAACGTTGACTTCTATCTCACTCTGCACGTGTGTCGCGAGACTGTGTTTTATAACTGCGTGGCCGACGTTTCGGGCGCGACCTATACCCGTGAGGGGATCCACCGACAATATCTCGGGCGCGGAGGACTGCCAGTATCCCGGATCACCGTCGGACGAGAGAAGCGGCATGGAGAAGCATATTATATCGCCAATCGTCAGGGTGGTCTTCGTGGGAAATATAATATCGCCGATCATCATGTGAACGTAGTCGAACATTCCATTGGGATGTTTCTCGTTGAAGGTCTTGATGACCAGCTCGCCATTTTCCAGGAACCTGGCGGTAATGACGTTACCCGCGCCCGCGGTGAACGACGCTAGATCGGCGCGATTCAGCATGGCCTTAACGTTCGTCTCGGCAGCGTGGAATTTGTTTCCTACATTGTCGTAATATTCAACGATGTAATCCAGCTCCATTCCCTTCGGTAACATGTTCAGCTCCTCGCCGTTCCGTATGCGCAGTTTGGATTTCAGGGAGAGCATCATGTAATGAATAGGCTTGACCTCGACGACCACCGTCAACGATTGCCTCAAGTTGTACGCTTCCGTATTCGTAACGGAGATAATCGTCTGACCGTAATTCTCACCGGATCGCACGATTCCGTTCTTCTCCACGGTCACGGCCTTCGCGGCGGGCGTCAAGGCGCGCGGGTCCTCGAATTCGTCGCCGTGCGTGCCCGATAAGATTCTGTAGGTCGTCGTGCCGTGCCGGTCGCGATTGGTTTGCAGCCGTAGAACGGAATTCGGTGACATCAGTAGCGTCGATATCGAGTTTCCCGACGATGGCGGCTCGGTCAGGCGCAGCTCCTCGAAGATCTCGATCTTCACGAACGTGGTATATATGATGTCGTTCTTGCTGTAACTGGACAGCATGTTACAGGGCACGGTGGCGTTCAAGTAGATCGTCGCCACACCTGGGCTCACAGCCCTGGCTCTCAGCGACACCTGATTCTGGTATCTGATGTTGATGCCGGTGCCCTCGTACATGTTGTGTAAAGTCAACAGACCAGGATCGCTCGACGACCACGCGAAACTCAGCTGCAACTGCATGGAGCCGATGATGAGGGGCGTCAGATAATCGGGGATACCGAATGCCCAGAGGGGAAACGTCGCGCCTGCTCTCACCCTGTTCACCGGGGTCGAGATCTTCACTCCCTCGAGATGCAGCACGTATATATCGGCGCGATCCTCCGAGTAGACCACCTTGTTGCCTTTGGCGTCGAGACCAACGGCGCGCACGTGAATCCCGGTCCAGCCCGCCGACTTCCCCTCGAGAATCCCGTTGCGATCGACGCGCAGGATATCGCCGCTCTCCGTCATGAATTCGATCTCGGCGTTAGGCGGACCGCCGACGGTCTGCATCTGATAAATGGTGCCGATCAGTATCGTCAGATTCCTCGGCTGCACCCGCAGCGGGACGAACACCTGCACGGTGACCGGCTCGCTGCGTATCTCACGGTCACCTGTCTTCACGAACGTCAGCTGACTTTCGCCCTCAGACAAGCCGTGAATTTTGTACAGGATTCGCTCGTAGGGCGCGATGTCTTGTTCGGTTGCGGGCAACTGCTTGATCTCGATATGCTCGTTGTCGATCTCAGCGTGGAATTCTAGCGCGCCAAGAGACGGCAGTTTCACAACATGATCGTTCGTGTCGTAGAGTCTCAACGCGGCTGTCACGCATTTCCCCTTTTCAATCTTATCTACGGTGTCCACCTCGATCGCCGCGAGTTGTTGAACCTCCACGTGCACCTCCGCCAACTTCGAGGGTAGGCAGAGATCCATCAGTGCTATATGAAGCTCACCCGGCTTCTTCGGCGTCACGCTGATCGTCCTCGTCGTGTCCATGTATCGAATATCCGCTATATCTTTCGAACTGAGAATGAACTCGTAGTAACCGGAGCCTTGGCTGACCTGCAAGTACGACTTCATGCTCGAATCGTTCAGAATTATCAATTTACTGGGACTGATGACGGTGTCGTTCACCAGAGTTGCCTCTATGGAGGCTTCTATCAGCGGCGTCTCCACTCCACCTCTTTCATTCTCGACGGGAAACGGTGGCCACTCCGGCGTGAGTTTCAGTCTATTTAGAACAAGCTTCTGGTAGCCGGTCACAGTCGCGAATATCGTGAGAACGCCGTGATGCTTCTTGAAGATGATATTTTGATAGTGACTCTTCGGCAGAATCACGTCCATGTCCGTCCAAGTCTCCTCCATCGTGCTGGACTGGATTTCTACGGTGCCGCTGCCCGACGGCTTCAGATTCCACTCGATGTTCAAGCTCGTGATATTGTCGAACCGCCTACCGTCCTCGTCCTTGACGATTACAGCGATCTTCAGACGCTTATCGCTGTGCGCGATTATCTTGTCCGTGTTCTGACCGATCGGACAATTTTTGTCGTGTGCCCCTTTGAATTCCGGCTGCAGGTAAATGTACCTGGGCTTGCCGCAGACAATCTCGATCGTTTCCGACGCGTGAGTGTGCCGACAGTTCGAGAACAGAGGCACGTTCGACACCGTGTACGTCAGCGCGGTTTTGCCCAACGCCTTGCAGATCACCTTGAACACGGTTCTGTCGAAGGGTCCGCTCAACGTGTCCTCGTATTCAGCCACCTCGGCGATCTCCTCGTTCGACAGTTGTATCTCCCGTGAGTAATCTTGGGACTTGTTCGTCCATGGCAGCGGTCCGCCCCTGAACACCACGTACCTCGAGGATCCCACAGCAAGTAACGTTTCCTTGCTCCCGGGGTGTATCGCCGTGAGTGGTTCGTATGCCGACACGGTGACGTTATCTGTCAAATAATGATCGATCACATCGTTGTTGTTCGCGTTGTAGGCAACGGTTACGTCGGACGTCCCGACGTAGCGATAATTTGTCACGGTTATTACGGCGCACGCAACGCCGATCGGTTGAACGTTCTTATCGTAACTCCGCACGAAGTTCACGTCCGGGATATGCACCTCGAAATCGAGATCCTTGCAATCGCTGAAAGGTATTTCTTTGGCGTCGGATCCGTTGAGCAGTATCCCAAATAACGCGACGTGCAAATGAATGGGTTCTCCTATGGCCGCCTCCATGTTATAGTCGACAATTTTCAGCTTTACAGGCGACAATACGTGTATCTTCGCTGTGTCTCTGTTATATTGATTTCTCGCCATTGTGACGACTACCTCCGCCGTACCTGCTGACAGAATTCTGATACCGCCGTTCTGCGAGACGGCCAGTATCGACGGTTGTCTGCTGGACCAAACGTACGACCCATCTCCCCCGCTCGCCTTCAACATTATGTCGAATCTGGAATACAGTGATAGAAAGTAGCGATAAAAGAAATCTATATTAATTCTTTTGGCGTATTAACAATTCCTCTATGCTCACCTGGATTTGTTCACGACGTCCCATGGAACAGCCAAGACGCGAGGTTGAACCTTCACCGGGGTGTGTGTCGTGAGTTCGACCCTAGTGGAGAGCTGAGGCTCGAAGGTAATCCTTTTGCCACGTTCATCGATTATACCGCGTAGCGTTGCCTCCACGATCGTCGTCCCGCAAGTGATCGGTATCACGACGGCATAAGTGCCATTTTGCGTAATCGACTTGGGCTCCAGATATTGCTCGTCCATCTTCATGGACACTTCCACGCCTTCTCCAATGTGGAATTTATGATCTTTGCTGTCGTAGAGTTCAACGACGATCTCGTGAGCGTGACCCAACACCAATCCCCAGTTTCTGTTCGGCAAAACAGAAAGGGAGATGTACGCGACTTCGTGTACGTTAACTATGGCGGATGGTAGAACAACCGGATACTCCTCGCGGACATTCTTGTCGTGTAGAAACACCTTCGTACGTCCCAATGTACGCCCGTAGGCGAAATCGTGGTCGTTATCGATCTCCAGGATATCGGGATTCTCGGCCTCCAAGTAATACTGACTCAAAGGCAGGCTGATCTCCTCCAGGCGACCCTGACGAGTGTGCATTATCTTGTATCTAAAGCTGTCCTGTGCCATTATCGTTATCTCTGGTGGAATGATGATCAAATTGGCGATGACGACCAGCTCCAGCTCTATAGATGGGACATACTTGTACTCCGAATGTGGCAGTCTAACGGATACCTTAGCCGTGCCGGTCCTGACACCTTGTATGAGAATAATGTGACCCCTTTTGCCGACGCTGTCCAACGTGGCTATACTAACGGGTCTTTCGTACTGCGACTCCTCGTAGGTCATGAAACGTAACACGTTACTCGCGAATTTGCCGTCGGACGACACGTGTTTGTCGGCGTCGCCGATAGTCCACACGAATTCAATGCCCGCCAGAGTCGTAAACTCGTTTCCGTGCTCATCGTACGCCCGTACCTCGAACGCTTCAGGTATATCCTCGATATACAATTCTCTCGTGGTGGTAATGAGATTCAGTGAGAAAATTGCGTCCACTATAACGTCGCATCGCAGAAAGTGGCCGGTATTGATATCTTCTGCCAAAACGATCACGGTATTTCTCGTCAGTTCTCTCGTTATGGTTTGAATCAATATCGCTGGCGAACATGTCCTGTCGAAGTTCTCATTTATGGGGATCAGCTGGATGATGTCTAACCGTGAGGTCGACCTGTGGAGAACGGAGATCATAGAAAAAAAAACCGGAAAAATCAAATATTTCAAAAGAATTTCCCTACAACGCGAAATTTACTGTACGCAGACATAATTAAAGCTGTAATTTAAGAGTACCTGAATACTCAAGTATTACTTGAATATTAAACAATTCCGCAAATATATCCGCCCGTTCTGTCTTAAAACGAAAGATCGCGCTGCATCACGCGCCGCGTGAACAATCTTCAATTCGCGGGTAATTACTACGTCATTGCTGCCGCAAAGGAAAGGATGCGGGGACCGCGGATGGCCGCGATGAGGTTATGGTGCGACCGGCAACGTGCCGCGCGACGGAAAATTCACGCTCCACGGAGACGAGAGCGATTCCGCGTGATTAGCGACGCAGCGTGATTCGCGCCAGCTCGCGCGACCACGCGGTGCGAGGAACGGAACAGAAAAAGAAGTATATATAGTCACCATTTGTAGCAACTGCCGTCCGTCACCTCCAGCGTGAAATTCACCGCGAAGTTGTTGAACACGGGCAACAGGATGCGGGGCACGTTCAGTCGGTGCGTCGCGGAGACCGTCGCGGCGTGGAACGTGGCGACGAGGACGACGAGCAACACGGCTCTCCGAAGCGTCGTCGACCCGAACATGTCGCACGTGTGTGTGGTATTCGCGCGATTTTCAACCCCCCTGATCCCCCTCCCCGAACTGTTTCAAACGGTGAAAAACCGCGTCCGCACTGTCCGCAGGCGCGTGGCGCGTCGATACTTCGATACTACGCGCCAGGAATGTTCGAGTTGTTCGAGAGTACGATTCTGAATCGATCTTTTCTCAACTCGAAAAATCGATTCTTGAAATAGATTTTGTGATACAAATTTAAAAATTTCGATTTGTTTAATAAAAATATATGTCTTTTAGACTTTGATTAGATTATCTTTTTCCTGGTTGAAATAAAATGTCCGTTTTGTACAATAAAAACATCTTTTTAT